AGGGGACGCACTTGATCAGATTGATGGCCGGAAGCTGAGAAGGATGGCTCTCGCGTACAAGATACCTGTAATAACAACAATTGCAGGGGCTTTGGCCACCGCTGATGCAATAAAAAGCTTGAAATGCAACAAGATTAAGATGACAGCTCTTCAGGATTACTTTGATGTCAAGAAGGTAGAAGCTGAGCTCAAAAACTTGCAGTGTGCGCCATCTGTTTCTACTAGTTGACTTGCCATTAGGTGAATCAGTTTGGTTGCTTGTAAGTTTTTCTCTTGTTCTGATCTATGTTATAGGTGGCATTGTTGCTTTATGGATTTGGTGAATGAACCTCATTTTCTCCATTCTTTTTCTTCCTGAACTAGCTTAACAAATGTACTGGAACATCAAAATCTACTTGTAGATTAAAATAGGTGATGATGGTGCTAATTGTTAATGCAACTATAATCAGTTGTGCTGTTTCTTGAATTACTTTTCATCTTCTGAATTTATACTAGTTTTACATATATCTGTGCACCTTTTCCTCTCTTCTCTAGGTTGACTCAGATGTTGACGCATAAATTCTCACTAGAAGTAAGTGTTGAATTTGCAAAACAAGATGACATGATCTGTTGAGGCTTATAGTAGAGCATTTATTTGCTGAATGTAGTTTATTTCATTGGTCTCTAATTCCTGTTGCTCATATGCATTGAGGGGTGCCATTGGCCTTTCTCAGTTCTAGCTTCTCTAGGATCACCATATTATCAACATTCACGCGACCTCAGTTCCAGCAATTTTCAACACCAACTGCAGCTGTGAAGGATAAGTTGAGTTGTGATATCAACAAGCTGTCTTGTGGTGATCTGAGGCGTTTGGTTAAAACTTTGCCCCTGAAATTTTTCCATTTGCAGAGTCTTTTATCTTTTAGATTGCCGTTGTAGTTCCTTTTCTGTTCTGCTTTTCTTATCTTTGAAACATAGGGGAAGAGAACTAATCTAGCAAAGAGTTGAGCATCAAGCTAACCGCCTATTGGAGGCCCAGTTGTTACAGAAGGTGAATTTGTTTTGTTCTTTCTCAAAATACTAATCTGAACATTAGAATAGGTAGGAAATGAATGAAAGGAATCTATTCACCTTTAGAGGACCTAAATTTTATTTATTTATTTATTAATAGAAGAATGATAACATAGCTGAGTTCTTTATTTTACTACAATTAATTTCATGTTTGTGCTTTTCGCATTTGATGTGGACCTCTTACTGTTGATGAAGCGTATTTGATAATTAGAATTTAAACACCCAATCCTGAGGTTCTGTGTATGTCTTCTATATACGTAAAGTTTGGAGTGCGTTAATATGTTTAGATAAGTGGGTCATCGATCAAATAATTGATTTAAACGTGTTTAAGATAACCGAATGAATTTTATATAATTACCGATAACAGAAGAGGAGGAGTTGCTCGTTCTACATCATTTTGAACTTTTTTATAGACTTAGTTATACCAATTAATCTCCATATATTATATTAGTTATTACTACATACTAATGGTCGTAATCCATTGTCAGATGTACTATTCGGTAATATGGGATTGCTCAACCTTGAAAAGAGATGATGAAGAAAATTAACAAAAGTTGGTCTAAGTGGCTAATGCGAATAAATATACCAGTCAAGCTGAGCCAAACTCAACTAGTGTATAAAGACTTTCTCGAGAATAAACAAAGGAGGGTTTTCTGTTTTCATCTCTCTTCGTTTTCTTTATTGGTATATATGAATGTGACAATGGCTATAGTATGAAGGCTAGAGAGAAAAGGTCGGTTATTGACTATACAGTTTTCAACTTTTTAGGCTCTCATTCTCAACCTTGGCGGAAAGAAAAAGAAAATTGGCGTTTATATATATCTAATTGTGTTGCAACTTGCAACTCCATCGTACAGAATTTAGGTTCAGATTTCCAATTTATACCAAATACTACTTAAAAGCATGCAGTTTGTAGATTAATGAAAACTTCCTGCAATTTATACAAGTAAACATCATTATATTGGTAAATGGTAACACAAAAATGTCTTAGGTGGCATATTTCTAGCAGTATGGTCCAATAGAGATTCAGAATTCCTACCTTTCCTTTTTCCTCTCCTTTCTTGAAGTCAAACTGTCAATAAATAAATAAATGAACTTCCATTTTAGCTTCTTGTTAGTGTTGTAAGAGACTTAATTTTGTTTGAGTTTTCTTGCAAAGTATAATAACACAGATGTAAATTCGAGTGATGAATAAAAATTGCTTTATAGCTACAATTGAGCGTGGAACCTAGAGCATTCAATCTAATATGAGTCTAATAATTTCTACCGGCAGAGATGGAGGATAAGCACAGTGAGCATATACATTTAATTGCTTTCTTCCCATGATATTAATTGGGCGCACAACTTAGGTTGGGCTTATTGATGACAATGATAATTTATACTTTCGGTCGTAGCCTTTCTTGTGCACTAAATGCTTCTTCCTTTTCAATTTTCATATTGAAAGCAAATACCACAAGAGAAGGGAAAATGAAATTCGTATGATCAATGCAAGATCTTCACAGAATCAAAATTCCAAGTCATAATGTTTCTTCTAAGAGGGACTAGCTAGTGATTATTAATTGAGTTTGCAACCTACTTTTTTTTTTTTTTTAATTTCTCACATGGTATCCGGTATCCGCTTTAGTTGGAGCTTTAATTAATTTAATTCACACCACGTAAGGCCTATTAAGCGTCCCCTACGTACCATGATCTTCTTAATCCTCGGGGAACAAATTCGAGACCTCTGATTAAGGGTGGCGGTATTTTATATCCATCCCACGACAACACCTAGTCTGCAACCTGCTCGTTCAACCTTTTATTTTGACTTTCTTAAAAAAAAAAGAAAAAAGAAAAAGAGGAGGTAGGAAAAATAAATGCAGGAATTAAAGGTAGAATATCATGCCATTCCGTCGACTGTTACATTCTTTAGGTAGTTCAATTTCTGACCATGAAACAATGAGTCAAAGTGGCAAGCAGCATTAAAGTACAGCTCTTAGAAGTACTTCAGCAATATAAAAATCATTAATGCATGGAGAAGCTGCATGTGTGAAATCGCTTTGCTAATATTTCATGACGTGTTAGAGATACTATATAATATCATCCACATCAGATATGTAAATCAGTAAATGTTTCAAAAGTGATTTTATGAATTTTTGGATCGAGCCATTTGATTCCACTCATTTCTTTACAGATTTGTACTGATCAATACTCAAAAAATTTAAGATATATATATATATATATATATATATATATATATATATATATATATATATATATATGGAATGAAACAAGTTCAATAAATTCTTCATTGACATTATATAAGATTAGTGACACATCTTTGTATGTACTAGTACTTTTAAATTAAACTTGAAATATTGATTTGTACACGTCCATAAAATGGACATAAAATAGAAAAGGAAATCACTAAAATTAAAATCAACTTTGGTTCAGCCAAATACAGCTGAAAAATGGCCTTTTTCTAATACATGTGCCAAACGAGATGACATTTTTCTACCACATTTAACAACCATCAACTTTAGCCTATGATCTCTCTTTCTATCCTTCTCCATTTTTAGACACGTAATGTAATGGTGGTTAGAGTAGTAGGAAATATGAACCGAATTCCTTAATGATATCAACCTATAAAGCCAACATGATATCAATATGACCTTATCTTCCTATATTACAAATATAGAGTAACTTTAGTTTTGATTTTAATGATCTTCGATTTAGCACATTTAATCTTCAATTTTACAATTTCTATGGTGTTAGTTCCTCCGCGAACAAATATTTATATATTTAACAAATTTCTTAGTACATCCAGTGATTAGATTGAGAAGTTAGTTTGTAATACGTACACGAATAAAATATAAATGCATTTACTATATAAGATAGCTCAATAATAAACACGCTTCAGTAAAATTCTTAAAGGAAATTGTTTTGAAATAGAATTACTCCATTTGTTCTTATCAAAATTATGTTACAGGTGGCTTGATTGCAAGATGATAAGTTAGTTTCTAAATTGTGAATTCTGACTGATATGATCTAATTTTAGCGCGTTTTACTCGTCATATAATTAGAAGCCAAAAGAGCCAAAGTTTTCTAAGTAGCTAATGTATTTTCTAAGTTAGACTCATATAGTTTGACTTCTAATGCGACTTTTAAGTCCAGGAAAGCTGGAGAAATTTTTGTCTCAATGTGCAATATTCGTGTTTGGATGATTCCTTGAAGACCACTTGATCAATTTTTGTGAATAAGCCTTTCAATTAACCCCTAATTCGATAAGCTAGTACTTAATAAATTCTCGAAAGTTGGCTAAAGCATAATCAAAGAGTAGTTTTGACATACAGGGGAAGAAAAAAAAAAGAAAGAGAGCCAAAGATAGGTAACTCAACTAGGATTGGTTGTGGGTGGGGAAAAAACTAAGATTAGTTGTGAACGAAAAAAAAAAACTAGGAGTAATAGTTGTGAGAACGGTAGATCGCCGCAGTCACTCAACCAATAAAAAAGATATGAGTTTTTTCTCCATGCATTAAACTTGTCAAGAAGAATTATATTATTAGATCATTTAAAAGATAATTATAATAGTAATTTTTATGTACTACAATTATGAATTGTTACCTGATAAAAGCAGGGACGGATCTAGAGCATGAAGACCGATTCACCGGAACCTAGTAACTTTTGTTCATACCTTGTATATATAAGAAATTCATTAAATATTTATAAATATTATATTGTGAATCTATAAACTATTGTATATTTACTTGAGATTTTTGTAGGAACCCATAAACTTTAAATTCTGGATAGTGACGAGTTATAAGGTAAAACCAAAATAACAATGCAAAAATCTAATAAAAAGGGGGTTTTTACTTGAAAAAGTTTATGTCATATTACTAATAATGATGTCATCCCTCTCTCACCTATATTTTGGGCTTATATATATTCCCTTCACTCTACTCTGTTTTAGAACATCCCTACTACTCTCCTCTTTCTCTGCTTTATTCCTTGCACGTAAACATCTACAAAGAAAACATGGAGTCAAGCAACAGAACAGTCACCACTACCAAAACACCGCTGTCTCCTTGCTCCGTGTCGCCGTCACGTAGCTCACCATCTCCGCCGCGGGTGGTGGTCACACCTTGTGCTGCCTGTAAGATATTACGGCGGAGATGCGCAGAGAAATGTGTGTTGGCACCTTATTTTCCTCCCAACGACCCCATCAAATTCACCACTGCTCATCGTGTTTTCGGTGCAAGCAATATTATCAAGTTCTTGCAGGTATAAATCTTTGCACTTGTTACTTCTTGTTCCTCTTTTTCTATATTAATTCAATTTCCTACTTATATTACCTTTGGAATTCAAGTAGATGGGATTTTACAGACACATTAATATACTTCCTATAATTTTTGTCGCTAAATGGTAAACCTCCAATATGTATTTAATTTACTCGAGAAGCGAGTTTACAATCACTCTGTTTGTGTTAATTCCAGTTTTACCCTTTTATCTTTTTGAATATTTAGTTACCATATAGTAGTATAGTTTTTTTTTTTTTTGTTTTTTTGGGTCAAAATGCAAGTAGGCAAATATAGGAGATATGTTTTAATATTAGGTGAGAGTATTAAGTAGTATTTATGGTAGTTCCAAGTGGAAAATAAGAGCCTAGCCAAACAGCCAGAGTTTGATAGTGAACCCCCAATAATATTGCTCTTCTTTTAATCTGGAGGAGCGAATTGATTTTAAGGTCAACATAAATCCAAATCCTCAGGATATACTTCATCCGTTCACTTTTATTTGACATGTACACTAAAAATAGATTTTAATTTTTACTTGTCACTTACTCATATCAAGAAGACAAACTTTTTTTTCCCCTGTTATACCCATAATATTTATTATTCATTTCAAATCATTTTCTCAAATCCAATAAAATATGCATCAATTAATATGGGTATCATGGTAAATTATGAACTTCATTTATTATTTCTTAAGTGGCGTAAAATGTCAAAACGTGCAAGTAAAAGTGAACGGAGGGAGTAATATAATGTGAAGCAACAACCATATCTGCTTTATTAATTATGGCAGAAGATATCTTTTCCTCTTTTGATGATCCCCATTACTTTTCTTTTCCTTGTAGCTATAGTTTCATCTTTTTTTTGCTTGTGCATTGACTTATATAGCTACCAACTACTCATGTCTTATTGTGACAAATAACGAGAACCATATTTTCTCTCTCACAATTCCATTAGTTGTTCGGACAATCGATGATTTTGGACCAAACATTCTTCGAATGATAAATCTAATTAGTACTCCCTCTGTTCCAGTTTATGTGAACCTATTTCCTTTTTGATCCGTTTCAAAAAGAATCAATCCTTTCTAAATTTGGTAACAATTTAGCTTAAACTTACAACTCTACCCTTAATGAGAAACTTTTATAACCACACAAATACTCTGGGCCCCATTTGGACTTGTTTAGAACCACAAATTCCAAAAGTCTTCATTTTTTTCTTAAACTCCGTGCCCAGTCAAACAGGTTCACATAAATTGAAACGGAGGGAGTAGTACTTATCATATTTGAATTTTGATTAGGAATTGCCGGAATCTCAAAGAGCAGATGCAGTGAGCAGTATGGTGTACGAGGCTAACGCTAGACTGAGGGATCCAGTTTATGGTTCTGCTGGTGCTATTTTTCAACTTCAAAAGCAAGTGAATGAGCTCCAAGCACAATTAGCCAAAGCACAAGCTGAGGTTGTCAATATGCAGTGCCAACAAGCTAACCTCATGGCCCTTCTTTACATGGAAATGGACCAATCTACACCGGTATCACCCGAACAATCTTTGGACAAGTTAACCAGTACCACCTTCCAAAGTAGCATGAGTTTCCTAGATGATCAGAACAACAATTTTGGGTCATTATGGGATCAGCCTCTCTGGACATGATTAGTTAAAAGGAAGATATATATGTTCGTCAGAAGATCTACAATTTTAAACTTGATGGATTCAACCTTTTAGTTCTTACCATTGAATTCATTACACTTCTGAAATTGTAGGTTCAGAATTCAATATTTGTTAAATTCTAGAAATTTTCCACAAATATATAGAAAAAATACTGGACTCAGTTGAATCTAGTAAACCAGGTTCCATCTGGGCGCCTTTAATTTGTTTCTGTTGTCATATGTATGAGCCGATTTTAAGTTCTCCTAGCAGATTATAGTGGAAAGATAACAAAATTGTAATATAATATGAACGAGATCCTGATTAGATATTATAGATGTGAGTCTGTGTACTGGTTAGATTTTCTTTATTTTGCTAATGATTTAGATAAAGCAAATCAAATTTATCAGTCTTGTCACTTGTTCCCCCCATGTTATCTTTATAATGTTCGTTTATGTGAAAAGATAGATGGCGTTTTATATTTATTCTTCTATCTCTAAGTCTTATTGTCCATTTCCACTTCACGTTATTGAATCTAACTAAGCCAAACTTTTTGGTCACCTAATAGCTTACTAGCAAACATTAAATTGAATTTTTCCATGTGAATTCCCTTTCAGATGAACCTTTGACTCTCTAGTTATCTTGGCTTTATCGAATCTTACTATTTAATATTTCAAATCCATAGTGCCATTCCACATTTGAAACGTTATATAACTGACGATGTCATGTCACACCAACTTGCGCTTTCTAAGCCTTTTTTCCTTAAATAAAAAATCTCGTACTGTTGGTAAATCTAGAACAAATCTAACTATTTCCTTTCATATTTTCTTGGATTCTAAGTTTAAGGCAACATGAAATAGGATGATATACTACTAACTACATCTTTCTTCACTGCCTGTCAAAGTGCACAATTGAAAATTTAACAGTAATAAAACTTCTTAATTATCTTTAATGAAAAGAAAATTGATTATGTGAAATGCCATTGTGAACAGGTTATTGGGGTCAAATTAAAGTCATTTTAGTTTAGTAACAGACAGGGGTATCTAGTGTGATGACGTTTCAACTTCCAACAATGGCAGATCAATTTCCGGTTGTTAACATAAAAATATTATGTCAATCTAATCGAATAAATTGCTTAATTACTTTCAGTTGCACTTTCAGTGCTATAGTTTATTATTGGCCAAGAAGCAAAATCTGAACTGCCATGTGACGTGTTCGATTTCAGTTACCTTCCGACCATTGCTGCCCAATTGAGTCAAACGATTGTCTAGCATCTGTTGACGACATATGTATTGATTGTAGGATATTCTTTTTATCTTCAAAAATTTGTAGTAGAAAAAACAAAAAATCACACAAGTATTGATAAGATTTGAACTAGATAGAATTTAGGAAGTACGAATATTTCGTGTTTTTTCATTTTATACAAATGAAATATGAGAAATTCCTACATGTTGAAATAAGAGTTGCTCTTAAGGCCTTCTAGGGTAAAGCTTAATAGTTTAAGTAATTACTGTAATCCTAGTGGCTCATATATAAGTACACTGTACACACAAGAGATTTACGTGTAAGTATCTATTTTGTATAGATTTACGTGTAACGTATTCCATCACTACATTATTCTGGACAGCGTTGTCGGGATCATTGAGGCCCCATGATGACGGCTTTACTTCACTGTGAAGATGCGGTACTCATTAGCGAGCGTCCGGTGACAAATGATTCCGGGTTCCCCTGCTTGCGCCCTTGCTTCTTGCTTTCGAGCCGGAGCTTGCTGGGTAGTGAAGTGGTCCGTGAAGGTTAAATAAGACTTGTATTAAGCAAACAGAGTAGTCAAGTTAGAGAGGAAAAAAAACAAGAAGCTGTTTTCGTTCGATCGATAGAATCAATCGTAGTGTACCGGCTTTCATAAAGCTGTTGCTCAATCTTAAATGAACTTTTGATAATTTCCAGCCGATGTCAAATTCTAGAAAGCATCCAAATTTTGGCGGCGAAATCCAAATTTTCTTCTAATTTTGAGAGGAAAGTATATTTTGGACGTATCATTCACGATAAAAATATAAACTTAAAAGATTTAGCTGCTGTCCCCAAATCGAGAATGCACGTTCACTTGTCCTGCTTTTCTTGTTTTTTTTTTGGTTTTCTAATCATGGCTTATGTTTCCCTTAAACGCGTATTACCATTATGCTTGTTTTTTCTTATAGGGACTAGAAGATAAAACTATACATAGAAAAGTCACGTGCTTCACATGCAGACTTGGCAAATTGCATATATACCACATTGACTAAATAATTTCACTATTTTAGTCTATCCTTATCTGTGAGTAGTGTGGCACAAGAAGAAACTCATTCTTGAATGATAACTCAGCCGAATTAATGAGTGGCGTTGCAGCCTTATATTGTTCAATTTAACTTAATTACTTCACTTAACTTTAACGATTCTGATCTTATAAAATCCTTCGATCTTCCATCTTTCCTCTCCCCACTATATACAAATCTCTCACCAATAAAGGGATTCTATCTTATGTTTTCATTTTTGGCATAGTTTAATAGGGGAAGAGAGCAATCCAACTGTCAGCTTATGATGGGGAGGCATGGCATTCAAATTCATAATATTGTGGTCCAAATCGTGATATCTTAATCAGCAGAAGTCCAGAATATCCCACATGAATACAATAATTAATATGCTCGCTTTAAATAAATAGGTCAAGTTTCAAGCAATACAACTAGATATAATGGGAAAAAGAAACACAAACTGGAGTATATATTGCAACAAGTATCACTTTTCAGCATCCCTTTTGCTTATGTCTCTTCCAAATGCAAATGTACGTGCATTTGCGCGGTCTTCAATGATATCCTTTTACATTGGCAACCAGGAACAAAGCCATGATGTAAAACCGACATCAGTTTATTGTAAGTTGACTATGTGTCTATAATAGGATTATTACACGCATTAATACTTGATTACTCTGGCCGTTTTTGACCTTTTGTGGAACACGAAAAATTGAAAGATGAAAATATTGGTTACAAAATATTTGTCTAAACTGCAGAAACGCGTTTGGTTCCTTATCATCTTTCCTGAACCTATTTTAATTTGCCGCCTTATCTCTTATTTTGTCTCTTCTATCGGTCAACATATTATTTTACCTTTTTTACTTTTAGTTCTGTAACACAAGTAAAAGTGTGGGCATTATCGTTCATTACATTTTTAATTACATCACCAAAATGTCACAATGACTTAATTTCACGTACAGCTCCTAAATATCACATAGAACGTTTCTGTTTTATGTTTCTTTTTTAGGAAAAAAAAAAGATTATAAAATAATATACGCTCCGTTTTGGAACTAAAATTCAAGAATGTTTCGAGACCAATCGCATGTAATAAAGGCGAATTTTGTGAAAAGAACTAAAGCGAACCATGTAAAAGAGTACGCCTGTTAGAATGGAGTTTTTGGCGAAAAACGTCCTTAAAGCTAGTACTATACCCGTAACCTAAACTACATCCTTCACATATCATTATAAACAGAAAACATCCTTGTTATATCCCATATTTAACAAGTTGCATCCTTCCGTTACTCTAAAGTTATAAAACTAACGGAATAAAGCTATTCACATGAGTTGCACGTGACGTCCCACACCACCCAAAGCATTTCGTCGTTCTCCCCTTCCCCTACCTTGCCACTGGAAACAAATCGAAACCATCATCAGTCCTTTGCTCAATATTTCTTCTTCTCCGTTCTTTGCAACCAAAAGATGGTACAAGTAAACGGTAGTAACATCCAATCACCCACCAACCAAATACAGTCAAAACACACATGCAAGTTGAGTTCACGACAGCGAAGTCTGCAATCTCACCATTATAATACACTCAACAGTATATCAAATGAAGTAGCTTACTGCTACAACTATGGAGCTCTAAACGTTGGAAGATATAATTGCACTTACAAAAAGTAAATCTTTGTAATCTTGTACGGGTAAAATCGGACATAAAGCTACCCCGATTTTCCAGTAAAGATATTTTGTTGCTGTTAACTTTTGTTTCTGTTTCTGTTTCAGTAAGTTTACTGTTTCGTTATTTATTATAGTAATACATATTGACTAACAATCTTAAGGAAATTATTTATTCGTAATCAGTATTCTGTTTGTGGAGATTAAAACGTGTGTTTTCTACTCCTTCTGAATTTTTCTATTCTGATTTGAAGATATAAAAACTTCATCGGAGTATTGAAATTCAGAAACAATTTGAAGAACATAAAAACTTCATCATTTTATGTGAAACAGTATATAAAAACTTCAATTTTTATTTATTAAAACGTACTGCTTATCATTGATTATTGTACTGTTTATTGTTCTGTTTTTTGCCATTAATTGAACTCTTCTGTTGTTCACCGTGAGAAATGGCAATTCTTCTGCGACTGTTGCGGCAACGACGATAGCCTCATCAAGCCGAACTGCTGTTCCACCGACTGAGAAACCGGGAAAATTTTCTGGAGCCAACTTCAAAGGATGACAACAAAAGGTGTTCTTCTGGCTTACCACACTTGGTATGCAGAAATTCACCAGTGAAGAACCTCTAGTGCCTGCTGCGGACATCCAGACAACGAGAAATTTATAATTGTTGAGTCGTGGAAACATGCAGATTTTCTTTGCAAAGGCTATATCCTAAGTGCTTTGGAGGATGACTTGTATAATGTTTACAGTGCTATGAATACTTCGAAAGAATTATGAGACGCACTTGAGAAGAAGTACAAGACCAAGATGCATGCTTGAAGAAGTTTGTGGTTGCTAAGTTCTAGAATATAAAATGATAGACAGCAAAACTATTGGATCCCAAGTTCAGGAGCTTCAACTTATTTTTCACGACCTTATTGCTGAATGTATGATCGTGAATGAAGCATTTCAAGTGATTGCAATGATTGAAAAATTGCCTCCTTCGTGGAGATATTTCAAGAACTATCTTAAGCACAAGCGCAAAGAAATAAAGTTGGAAGATCTTGTGATTCGTCTCAAGATTGAGGAAGACAACAAAACAACCGAGAAGAAGTCTCATGGAAGTTCAACGATCATGGGAGCTAATATCGTTGAGGAGACTGCTCCAAAAAGTAAGAAGAGGAAGAGGTCTTCTAGACAGACTAAGGAGCAGAGCAAAAAGAAATTCAAGGGCAACTGCTACAATTGTGGAAAAGCTGGTCACAAAGTCTCTGATTGTCGTCTCCCGAAAAAGGATAAGAAGAAGGGCCACGCCAAGATAGTGGAGAAGAATGATGACATTGATGATCTGTGTGCAATACTTTCGGAATGTAACCTAGTTGGAAATCCGAAGGAGTGGTGGATTGACTCTGGAGCCACTCGACATGTTTGTGATGTCAAATAAGCATTTGTGACTTACTCTACTGCTGGTCCCTAAGAAGAG